GCTATAATACATACGGAATCTACGTCGAGGAGTGGCAGCAGTTGTTATGGGGGTCCAGACAAATGATTTTAACGCTGGCTCTTTCTAATACCAATATAAAAACGGAAAACAACCTTCGGGTTAGGGTTTTTGCTAGTTTTGGTTTTCTACTAGGACACCATGGAGAGGCGGAGTGCGTGCTGGCAAGTTCAGGTTTGCTACTGGAGCTGAAATATCGAAGGTCGCAGCAGTCTCTCACAAACACGTCCGTCATCTGCATCGGAACCAAGCGGAATCCAACATTTGTTGCAGCCGTGCGAACCGCACCAAGAGCGGTCTTATGCCACACAGTCCAAAACGTTACCGACGTTGGCGGCAAGGGTACGTTCGAACAGAGGCGACAAGCGCCAAAAAGAATGGTGCCAGCACCATTCGCAGAAGGGGCCAGCTGCGTGTGCTATGTACATGTGTAGCGCATATAACGGGACATTGGAGGGTATTCTTACATGTAAGTGAATCACAGACGAAGAGCGTACTAGATTTGAGGTCGTGCGTGTGGCAAACTAGACATGTGGATCTGTTCCAACAATGCTTTAGCACCAGCGTTGCGGCTTGTGCTGGTGGTAATGGACTCGGTGCCATTGTGGCGCATACGTCATCGAAAAGTAGAGGGTGCGCAACGCTTTCCAGCGATATGAGCTTTGTGGGAACACAAAGTAAACATCAGCGAATGATCGGCTACCGAGATGAATTTAGAGGGATGCTTCGGATGTCTCAAATGAAGGGATGATGACGTGGGCGGGAAACCAAACATACCGGAATGTAGAGGATGGCTACCATACACTGCTGTGCATCCCAATCAAACAACAAGACATCGCCCAGTCCCGTCTTAATAACGCGAGTACTCCTGGAATGTTATAATCATTTCTAAATAGAACAGAATCCGGCGGTCTACATGTAGACTGTTTCTACCAAGTCACCGTACGACGACGCCGGGAATCGAGAGACAGCAGCAGTACTGCTGTAGATGCGGTGAATCATGCAACAAGAACAACCAGACACCGCTGGGCATCAGAGCAGTTCGACACGTCCATCGACTCACAGAGAACTGGGTTGCCTTTGCGAGTAATAATTTCTGCTCATTAGTTTGGGCACATGATCGACCGACTACTGCTCATTCCGTTTTACTACAGTAGAGTCAAAATCGACGAGACAAGCGCGCAAGTTTTTTTCACACTTGAGAAGACCTGATGTTTTGGTGTTTGCGGGGGCCTGCGCTGCTGTCTCCGATTAGTCTTCCTTAAAAACATACCAAACATGGTACGTAAAGAGTGGTGGGGTCATATTTGCATAGGTGCTGCGCCATTCCACTACAACTGGTGTGCGCATATCCCAGAATTTAAAGACGTAGTACCCACACGGCGGTGCTACAATGCTCATGTTCAAGTATATGTTACGCTTGTAGATACTCCAAATAAGCCCAGCACCTAGCCGGTTTCCCTGTATCCACGGTAGAGACTTCAACACATCCCGTTCGACTGTGGTCTTATCTCGAATGAGTAGTTTTTCTTTTTGTATTCATGTTTCGTAAGATACGTATCTACACGAGGGGTGTTCCGCGGTAAAGACGAATTGTCTCTCCCGCGGCGAGGAAAAACTCGAATGAAAATCGTTTTTGGATATATGTCTAAACGACGTTTAAAAGCATAAAAAAAAGCGAAACAAAAAACAATGTGATCGGATCGCCTTGATTGTTTTCTTTCACCGCGTTGCCGATTTCGGCGCCTCCATTTCTCCTCGGCAATCGATTCCGCTTGGCCGATTTAGAGGGGATAGAACCACTCAGAAAGTTGATCAGACAAAAACTCGACGTGGGAACCGAGAATCCAAAATCCCAGGAATTTTGAAATTGCTCAGCTACTGTCAGCTTTTGAGCAGCTGAAAGTCCATTGCAAATCAAAACTGGGACATTCCAACAATTTATTTGTGATCCCCACCCCAAAATTACCCTAATTCGAAGTCAGGAGAGATTGAATCAACATGTCAACATGTAGAAAGTGTTGCGGGAGGGGGGATATTTCAGTGTAATTCCTAGTAATTCCAGGTTATCCCTGCTTTCGCGCATATATATCAGTGCGTAGCTGTATCACGGCCGCATCGATCCTGATCGAAATTCTGACGACGGATTCTTGATGTACAACACAACATTACCCTAGCCTGAAAATTTTATACGATTCGGAGGCGTTTGCAACTTGCTCGGGGGGCCCGCAGACGCGATTTTCACCCAATTTTGGCCACTAATTCATCAATAAGTCATCACCACGACATCCAAATGGGAAAATAAAAATATTTTCGTGATCCCCGTGACCTAACGGATGTCGATATAAAGGTTGGGAAAGAACCATTCTTGCTGCTCATTGAAAAACTCGTGGAAACTATTCGTCTTTACCGCGGAACACCCCACGAGGCAGTTTCCCGCTCCTCGTACTCGGTGGGGTGGCCGCGGTTTTGTTCAATCGATTTTTTTGAAAATCTTGTCCGTGTGAACATGTTGCATTTGAAAAACAGTAGGGTATGTTATTCTGTTGTGCTGTCGTCGTGGTCGAAAAAAAGTGCTACACATTTGGCACCCACCCGCGATCGCGAAATAGTCGTCTAGTTTGGCCACCCTGAGGACCATCTCCTGTCCATTCAGCGCGGCCTCTCGAGAAACCACGCCCTCCAGCATCCCGCACGTCAACTCGCCCTCGTCGATAGCTGTCGGTACGGCGGAAGAAACAAATGCGTCAACGGCGGCATCGTCACTGCCGCTTCCAGCAGCGGAGAGGCCATTTCCGCCGCCGCCAACACACCGGCCTCGAGTAGCTGCCGGCTCGCGATCCACGCCAGCTGCTGCGCTGTTGCTGCCGGCGCCGCCGGCGCCTGAAGACGTCTCCGAAGCCCAAGCCGGACCTTCGGCCAGACTGCTGCTGCCGAAGCGGACGGGCTCAGCGCCGGCGGCGCGACGCTTTTGCCGGCAGCGGGCGGACGCTGGGCGTGCACGGCGTGGCGCACTGCTGCTTGTTCGCGCCCCCGTATGCCTGCGGCGAGCAGCAAATGGAGTCGGTCTCGAAGCCCATGCTACTGCTGACGCGGCCACCGCAGCGGTAGCAGCATCAGGGCCGCCCCCGGCACATGTCGGTCTTGGAGGAGTGATCTCTTGAGGGCACGAGAACAGAGCGGGTAGGGCACCGGCCAGAAGAGCCACAGACCCCTTCATAGGGACGATCTCGCCGTAGGACACAGAAGAGAAAGAAAGGTATATGCAGATAGAGGCGAGCGGCAAGCGAAAGGTGCGTGCCTATGCGTGTGCACTCGGATTGGAAGGGAGGCACAGTGAATCATCGTTTGGCACGCGGGGAGATCCTGGTTTTTCGAAAGTCCCCCCGCAAAACATGATCCTGGTCGGACCTGGTCCCGCCTTATGCCTGATCTTGATCTTTACATAAATGAGCAGGAATAAATTTTACAGGACGTTTCGACACTCTCGCCCTCCATCCTGGGTACCATGCCCGCTTTTGCATAACATCGGGGGTCCCGAGGGTAACAAATTCGATGAAAGCCATGAACTTGCGCGGCGCAGTCTTAAAGGCTGATGAATCGTGCTCATGTACGTGTACATGTAGCAGGAGACCATTCTAATCGAAAGAAATTGGTGTCGCCGTAGCATTTACATCTCGTGAGCATGATTTCGTTGCGTAACGTCACGCAGCTCCACTGTAAGGGCAGCTGTTCCATATTTTTTTCTTTGCATGAGCTGATTTCGAAGGGTCACACACCTGTACGGGATTGTTATCTTTGGATAAAACCAAATCTTTCGGACGGCGAAGCTTCGCCATTCGATTTTCATGGATTTTTTCGCCGGTCGTTTCTGTTGAAATCAACCTACATCGATGCAGGCCTCGTTCTGGACGAAACATCCAGATGACGAACCGGGCGGGACACGTCGTTTGATCCCCAGCCATACCCATGTGCGGCATCACCTCCTACGCAGCCATGTCAAAATGCATGGCAACCTGTACCTGCTGTCACGCTCAAGTCCAACTCAAAACATCTATGCACCACGCGTGATGTGCAAGCAACGCACCACCACTGGAGAACCCGGGAGTCAAAGAACTTCAGGATCAACAACAGAGGAGCTCAAGGAACGACTAGAAGACCACAAGTCCAGCTGAATGCACTATGTAAAACCTATTATCAAATAGTCGCTGGGAGGGTACCCTACTGAGGACATAGGAAACGAGGTGAGGGCAGAAGAAGAGCTTCTGAAGTGTTGGCGCTTTCGCATGGAAGATAGCGGTTGAAATCCGTGCCCAAATAGCCCATCGATCCGGTAACCTCCCCCTTACTTCCTTTGTTCCTGGAATTCTCCGTCCAAGCCACCGACGCCCTGAGCTTGCACAACCTAAGAGATGGCTACATACACACAAATAGCCGACGCTTCGACGCGAACGCCGACGCACAGAACACGTTTCATACAACGCCGTGCGGCAACTCTGTCGCCTCTTCTACACACATTGCCGATACACTTGCCGCCCAAAACAACAGGGCCGTCCGCACAGGAGATACTGAGCGAGAGGAGGTCAACGCGCGGCGATCCCGGAGCCAGTCCCCGCCCCCCTCCCGGCCGCGGCTTCCCTCTCCCGCCTCGCCGCCTCTTCTGCGGCCGCCACGCCGCACGGCCTGCGCCCCCCCGCCGCTTCTTTGCAACCCAAGTGTCCGCTATCACTGGGTTTAGGCTTGAGCCCTCCCGCTCCACCAAGGCCCCTCTTTTGCAGGTGGGGGTGTTCTCGCTTCGTCGTCTCCGCGATCGCCTCGCACTTGTGGTCATCCTCGTGCCGGTGCTTGAAGCAGAAATTTCTTCGGCAGCTTCCGCAGGACACCTAGCAGTATGAAGGGGGTTCCATGTTAATGAAAGAGGGAGTGTTGCGTGTGCTAGTGGTGTGTGGTTGCGCGGGTGGGCGTGTTTCCGCTTGTAAATATTACATAGTATGTACGTAGATGGCGTAGTGAGGAATGGGCTAGCTGGGAGTGCACGTGGTGCAGAGGGCTCAGTGGTGGGGATTCTGGTGCTACATATCGCGCGTTGATGTCTGGCTGGGACAGAAAAATACCAGGGCTCACAAGGGAACGGCATAACACCAAATAGACCACACGCGAAAGGAGTTCACGCACATAGCGCCCTTACTTTCCCTGCCCCACACTCAGGTGGTGGTCCTGTGGGAAAAACGCTCCGTCTTCTAGAGGACCGGTGGTCAACCGTCTAACCGCTACCGCATGCAGGACATGAGTACGCCCCCTCCTACTACTCAGGTTGCTCTTTTCGCAACTCTTGCTTCAAAGCAGAGCTTCTTGCTTGTGTGCACCCTTCTCCCGAGACGAAGCGCTCTTCGTTCTACGCATCAATCAGGCAAGTTCACCTTCACGAACTCCGACCGTCGACAGCCTTGCACGGAGCAGCCTATCTTGTTCGGCCTCGCTTTTCGGACGCCATCCACGCAGCCGGAAGCTACGTGCCTCTCGAGTAATAGGGCGTGTTCCACCCCGGCCGGCCTCTGGAGAACTTTGTTGCACTTGGAGCACTCGAGGACACGTTTCTGGTTGTTGTTTGTGCCAGCGATAAGACGGAAGGAAGGACGGGAAGCGCGCACAAAGCAGACAAAAAAATGGGCGGCGAGCGAAATAGGGAAGAATAGAATGGTTGGCTTTGGCATGCTAAGGTGACCTCACTGTTCAGCTTCGTTTGGGCATGAAATCTACGATCGCATAAAGGCATGAGGAGGATGACGTAAAATATGGATACGCGATCCTCCGTTTTCACCTTCGCATCTATTCCGCCGCACGCGGTTTCGTCTAAACACTGGACGCATCTCCGCAACCCCGATCCGGCGTATGTGGCATGAACGGAAGGACTTTTCGCTTGCCTCTGAGGCTCCTCGACGACTGACACTGAAAAACCATCAACGCAGGGCTCGTGCGAAGCGCAAAGAAAGCTCGGGCGACTTCACCTGGTGTTCACCACAAGGATCCGCCATTGCTCAAGCTAGCGCGGCGTGCAAGCTGATACCCTTGGTACATGCTGATCGAACAACCAACGAAGCAATAACTGCAACTTTGGCTATTTCACTACTCTCTCTCTCTATATGCCCTCCTCTCACATCTTTGACGTTGACGTTGGCACAGTTGTGACCGGCGTGAGTGCGGTGATCAAGGCAGAAGACCTTGCCACACGCGTCGCAGGTGAACGGCAAAAAATCTGCAAATTTCATCACACGCAGAGGGCATATGAGTAAGGAGTTGTGTATCAGTGACAACAGGGAGATGCGAAGGACACTCTGGGCGCAAGAAGTGTGGTGACGCATACAGCTTGTGTCAAAACTACTGTACTTTTGATGCCACAATATTTCGAGGCTGTGTAACGTACGCGTGCCACGTGCGAAACTTCAGGGCTATGTAGACGTTTAGACTGAGCAGTAGTATGCCGTGTCAATATACTACCAAGTACAGCAGCAGTACCGTAGTCCACAGAATTCCACAAGGAAAGGATAGACCTACTGTCGCCTATTCTGTATCTCCTAGGGTTTTTCTTCTCAGTAACGAGATGGTGTCGTAGGGCACCCAGCACCTTTTTGGTGCTCATCAAGAGCGCTCTCGCTCTCTCTCTCCGTCGCTGCTACATGTATCGTCGCCCCGCTCTCAAGAACTCTAAACTGCCATGAACTGCCGTCAACACCAGTAGGTCCTGTCAACGACAACTACTGCTGTTGTCACGAAGCTCTGGTTTCGGCCAATTGAGACGCGTACCGGAGGACTAGAGTACAGAAGCATTTCCATAGGCTTTACATGAACAACAAGGCGTGGGCTGAGATACGCAGGTTAGCGCGGTGGGCTACAAGAGGCTGGGACAGGAGCAATTTGGGAATTTCAGCGGAAGGAATCGCGGGAGAAGGCAGAGTTCGTGTAAATCGTCTCACACGATCGTAATGCAACTTGTCGCACCTTGCTGCCCGCACATTTCTGCCGCGCAGTGCACACCGACGTCGTAAAACTCCATATTTCTTCTTCTATGTATCTTGGTAGTCGTTCTAGTCTCTCCTCTGTGCGTACGAGGAGACAGGAAAGGAGGTGGGTGTGCGGGTGTGCCGGGTGTGGAGATGTGGGGAGCCTTAGGAGGGGATACGCAGAAAAATACTATCGATGTAACGTATATGAGGGCAACACTTCATGTTCTCAGCTGCCGCCCCTCGAAATCGGGAGAGCAAGCACCCAGCAGCACAATCCAGAGCCGACCGCAGGCGTGAATCTAGAGCCATGGTGAAGGTAGCAGTCAAGTGGAACAAGAGGGTGTTTGATGATGTGGAGGTGACGCCTACCGTGGCCGACTTCAAGGCGAAGTTGCAAGAGCTCACGGTGAGATAATCAGCAAGAGGAACGACACAGGAGCAGGAACAAACGGCGACTCTCACTCTGATGTCCTATTTTCATTTCCACACGCTGTACTCGTAGGCACTGCTGCTGTGACAGCAGTACTGTTATGGCAGCAGTATGGCGTGCACTAGAAGCCCCCGGCGACACACCTCAGCTCTATCTTGTGACTGCGGATGGCACGCGTTGCTTGTGTTAAACGTTTTCATCGAAAGGCATCAATGTATCCAAGTTGCTGTTGGGAAGGTGTCACTCCAATAGCGGGGACCTGTACCGCTGTTGCTGCTGCAGCGACCCCTCGGTCGTGCCTTGGGGTCTCTCCTATAGATCAGGGCACTGAACGCTTCGCAGCTCATTGGCTTCCGCCGCATTATCTGCTCACCATCCTTCAAGCATGCGGCGGCTCTCAGCAGCAATATATATATATTTTGTCACAATCTTACCGGTGTTGGGTTCACCAACCACCGTCTCTCTGCTGTCGCACGCCAACACCCGACCAAGCTCGTCGCCGGCCGTTGACTGCTGTAGCATACGTTACGACACTACTACAACAGTATCCAAATCTCGCACACAAACACTGGAACTTATCGCCAACCAAGTGGGTAGTGCTTACATTGGTCGCCGTCAATTTTGGGATATTGCGGGTTCCGCTGTGTGGGCAATCATGAGCAATCCCCACTATATCCCGACCCTCTTTCACACCACACGAATACTGATGTAGTTCTGAAGACCAGACCACGCAATCTGGAAGTCTGTAGACGTAAAACATGGATACTGCTGTAGTCAAACATGGACGAAATCGAGATGGAGATTCGCCACTGCCGTCCCCTACATTATTTAGTCTGCTCGTCGAAGAACCGGGCTGAAAAATATGTTGCAGTTGGACAAATGAAGGCCTTACTTGCACTTGATCCGCTTTGGGTTTCGCGTCGACTGGCGGTGCATCATCGGCAACGAGCGGTGTATGTCTACGTTTCGATCGGACGGTAAAAAATGTTGCATTCTGCACCAATGACCACAAGTCTCACATTTTGGCCACCACCATTGAAATGACTGCAACGGACCCATGCAGCAAGGAGGACCCTACGAAGTAAGAATTGATGGAAGTTAAGGTAGCACAAGCTCCGCACCAACGGTATTCGGATGGGAGTCTCTTGCATGCGATGTTGCTGTGCTGTCCGCAGCACGGCAAAAGAATGCACGGCAAGTTCCGGCATAACTAAATGAACCCTTTCGTGTGCATTCGGCATCTGCATACATTGGGTAGTCTTACCAGCCACGGTATCGTTTTTATAGCCGGCACGGACGCTGTCTCCTGTTACTCTATACGCGGGACGCCAGCCGGTTTCCATCTAGAGAGGCCTTTGCCGGTAGCAGACAAACCCTTGCTGTTGCTAATTGCATAAAATTGCTTGTGGCGACCGACCTCCGCTACAAGCGGCACGTGGACGCATCCCACCAACCGCCCTGTGTACGAGAGCTATGTTTCGTTCCCTTCGCCGGCCCTCGTGCTTTCCGCAGGGAGTACCAGCAGCCCGACAAAAGCTCATGGCCAGGGGTGCGTGGAAGGGCATCTTGAAGGATGACGTCGACCTCTCCGGTTGCACCATCAAGGACGGTCAGCAGGTGTGTGGCAGCAGAATGCCGCCACCCGTTTGGAAGCACCACAGCGATCGCGAATGATTGCGTTCGCCAACCTGGGGGATGTTTTCACGCTCCTCCTGTTCTACTGCTGTTTTGCTGCTGCTGCTGCTGCTGGTGGTGGTGTGGGATGGAGAATGAAATATTTACGCCTCTGAAGTTTTTTGTTTTTTGGCGGAATGCAATGCTTCTGTGTTTCCCGCCAAGCAGGTGACGCTCATGGGCACCGCGGAAGTTTTGGCGGCACCGACGGAGAAGGTCCAGTTCATGGAGGACATGAAGACCGAGGTAGGTTTGCGTATTCGCCTAAAAAAACAGAGAGCACAAGAGCCAATATTTCGGTTCGGAATCACTTGCTACACCGACAGAAACGAGCCTGTCGTACGCATGTCTCTCGGGAGGATGATTCGAATCCAAAAGGATGTGACTGGTGTTACATCGCCTGTATCACATTGGCACACCTTTTGTTGTGACTGTTTTTCTTGCCGTTTGTTTTTTGTTCGTTGTGGCAGGACCTGGCTCAGAGCGGTGCCGTGCTCCCCGCGGGCTTGGTGAACTTGGGCAACACGTGCTACATGAACTCCACCCTGCAGTGCATGCGCAAGGTACGTCTGTAGGGCATCTGTCAAGGGATCCCGCGTGGGTTGTTGCTGTCAAGCCCCTTCGATGGTTTTCGCACGGAGGCTTGACTGACTCGTCCTCCCCGCTTTATATGTCAGTCAGGTGCTTGTAGATGCTGCTGCTGCTAATCATTCGTGTTCCTCAGTTCGCGTTCCTCGCGTTTATTTTTCCGGGCTTGAAGTTGACTTTTGGTGGTGTCGTATCGATGTTGCCTTTTGATCTGGTATTCGACATCGTGGTAGTGGCTTCGTTGTCATCGTCCTTCTTTTCGATGTCGTTTTTACTCGCCACCGCCTTGGAACTTTTCCTGCGAAAAGGTGCCCGAGTTGCGGGAGGCTCTGACGAGCTTCCGCCCCACCTCAAGCAGCAGCGGCGCCGACCCCAGCGCCAACCTGGTACCGATGTTCACGGCGGCCTTAAGAGAGACCTTCAACGCCGCGGACCGATCCACGGAGGCCATTCCCCCGGCGATGTTTGTACAGGTGATCGAATGTTTGCGCCGCGTTGTGCTCTCTGTAGACGACAGTGTCAAAGTGGCTTGCCGCTACGATGATACGCAACAAAAGCCGGCTGGCACCACCGTGCTAGCATCGCCCACGATGGCGTGTGCTTTCATGGGGTGGGAGCGCTTGAGCTGCAGGAGCTGCAATAGCTCGTCCTCGTTGGGCTGTCGTGTTGAGCACCACTTGCTCTTGTGTGGTGGAAACTATTTCCTAACGCATTGGAGAATGATGAGCTTAGCTTGTTTGTGCGTTTCGCCGCTTGCTGGAACCCTGGGAGACCCTGCTCCATGGTGTTGGACGCCTGGTTTTTGGCGAAACATTTAGGTTGTGTATCCAGTTTTGATCCCAGTTCGACCAAGTACGTGCCGGCAGGGGTTGAAGACTGCTAATCGTGTCAGCATATGCATAAACTCCAAAACGTTCAGCTAGCCCCACGGCTACTGTCCGCCAACATTCTTTGGGGACAATCGCTGTCACTCTTTGGGTGCTCAGGTGCTGCGGCAGCTGTTCCCCCAGTTCGCGCAGCAGGGGCCCCGTGGTGGGTTCATGCAGCAGGACGCGGAAGAGCTTTATAGCTCAGTGGTCAACACTCTCTCGCAGAGTCTCAAGAAGGTGCGGTTGCATGGAATCCATCGCTGCCGTAGTTGTTGGTGGCTGTGGTAGTGGTGCAGCTGGTGGTGGTGTTGCCCTTGTCTGCGACCAAGCCATCGTCATCTGTTCCTTTGCCTGCGCCATTTTATGCAAGGCTCCTCTCGGGAATTTTCTCGCCGTACTTTCCCGTGGGATTTCCACAGGAATGGTAATTGGTAGCGTTACCGTGATAATTCCTGGTTACCGTACCCATCCAAATCATTACCGAGCAAATAGCCTTCTCCCATTCCCATCCAAATCGTTACCAAGGACATTAATCCTGTTGTTAGTACCCAACCAATAACCGTGCAAAATGTCGAAATCCCGTGGCTTTTGGTTACCACCCAAGCAATAACCGTTGGGATGTAGAATTCCCGGTAGCGCATGGGAACAAAACACGTTTCACCGTACACATAGTTGAGGGGGCTGTCTGCATGCTTATGTACCTGTTTTTTGTCGGGTTTGATGTTTCACATCGTTTCCTTTTCTGTTTTATTGTTATCTCTCTTCTATGTATCGATCCATCAAACTGAAGGAGAACGTTTATTTTTGTGTGTCTGGAGTCTTTGAATATTTGTTTTGAGTATTGCTGTAGTGCGGTGTATTTTTTTTTTGTTGTGTTTGAACTGCTTATCTGCGGTGTGACGCAGATACGGCACACTGTGCTTGTGGTTGAGCTCGATATGCGTGTACGTGATAGCTGGGGGTTTATGCGTCGTCTGGCAGATAAGCTTGGTGTCTTCAGTCCTCACGTAGCTGAGATAGATACGATTAGTGATCAAGTGATGGATATTTCGAGATGTCGCTCTGGACGTACTGATGTAGTTCGGTTGTTTTGTCCTTTGTCTTTTGCCTCGTCTTTCGGTAACTTGACCGCGAGATTTTCGTCCGTAGTCTCAAAACAATTGAAGAACAAAATGCGATAGGTTCCATTCGTGTGCTACGTGTTGTTTGTGGAACGCGCTGTTTGGGTGTCACGCGCACTGAAAAAAAAGCGCAACACAGTTACAGTGCACCGCTTTGTGGAATGTTTCCATCCTACGTTTCCGTGCATTACCGTGGTGGATTACCGTGGTGGCCCACCACCGCGGCATTGCCCTTGTGCCGAGTTACCACCCAAATATTACCGTGCATTCCCGTGGTGGCTAGTTCCCGTACGGGAGTTACCGTGCTGGGCGGTTACCACCCAAATATTATCGTGCATTACCGTGGTGGCCACTTACCACCCAAACGTTACCATGATGGCCAGCTACCACCCAAATATTACCGTGTGTTACCGTGTTCGCTGATTCCCGTACCAATCGTTGCCGAATTAAGAAATTGTTCCCGAGAGGAGCCTTGATTTTTTTTCTCGAGCGACGGAGGGTGCTTGCGTTGTCCTTTCGGTACTTGTACGCGCCTTGCAAACCCCAGCGATGCGATGCATCCATTTCCCGTCTTCTTTTCGTGATGCTCTTCAAATAAATCCCAGCCGACCTCTACCGCCATCAAAGAGGGCGACATAGTCCTGTACAAGCCTAAGGCAGAGGGCGAGAAGGAGGGAAGGGCTAAGGTGATCAAGGTACACCCGGACTCGGAGGGGGCGCACTACACCATCCTTACTGAGGGAAAGGATGCCAAGGAGAAGAACACAACTGGACAGCGCATCTCGAAGGTGTGCCTTTCATCCCGCTATGTAGAAGACTGGCGTCGTTTGATTTTGTCAGCCGGTTAGCGCGGTCGATGTTATTATCGTTAAACAGACACACACGCCAATAACCCTGGATATGAAGGTGTTCGTGCTTCTTGTCCCGCTGCAAAACTTGAAGTCTTCTTTTCCATCGGTCAGCCGGTTGTTGAACGCGGTCGATGCTAACAACAGCAATAAAAAAAACACACGCACACAGGTGCACGCCTTGACGGACCTCGGGAACGCCGACAACGTGATGGACGCCCTGTTTGGGCTCGAGATGGAGGAGGAGTTCACTTGCGAGGAGAGCGGGGAGTCCAAAGTGTCCACCTCCACCGCCAAGAAGCTGGTGTGTAATATCCAGGGAGGTGCAGGCGCCAGCACGCAGGTGAGAGGGAGGGGTGCTGTCTTGCGTATTCATTCGTTGCTTGCCTCTTGAGCAAGTTGACTTGCCGACCACCACGGCTAGACGGGGCACTGTGGCTTCCTTAGTTGAGTCACTGGTGTGTGTGTGTGTGTGTGTGTGTGTGTGAGTGAGTGCGTGCGCACGCGCATTGTACATACATGAGATGGGTGGGAGGAAGCGTGTGGGGGGGGGGGGG